ACTCTCCATTTAGTCCCTCTACTCTATAATTTTTTCTCAGTTTAGTATTTAAAAAATAAAATTCACATTTAGGTATTTGAACTTTCATTCCATTCCATTATACATTATAGTAGTTTGGATTAATATCGTTAGTTAAATAGCTGAGGTGGTATAAATACCTAATAAAATTATGACATATGGTAAAAAATGCCACATAATTAATGAATCCATCATCACATTAGTATTAAAAGAAAAACTAATAAAAATTTAAAAAACCTTACATATATACTAATACTAATTGTGGAAAAAACTCTACCAATATAAAAATAAAGTTGTCTCCAACATTAAAAAAAAAAAATGAAACCCAAAAGTCAATAACATAGAACATATCAAAAGATTTTGTAATGAATAATTTTCCCAATAAACCTTATTGCTGATTTAACGTTTATAGAAGTGTTCTTTTCTTATGTTTTAGATAAGAAATAAACTTTAAAAAATTGTCCTTATTTTTCCATGCATCACCAGATAAGAATTTTTTGTTCTTAATTTTACTTAATATTTTCTTTTCCTTTTTTTTTTTTTTTCATGAACCAGATAGAGCCTAAAGAAACTAATCAAACAATTCTACATTTAACAAAAGGAAGTCAGCAAATCGAACTACAAAAGTCTTAGAATATCATTCAAAATTAAAAAAAAAAAAAATACTAGTGATTTAAACAACTCGTCTGAATCCTGAAAATCCTAAAGTTGATTCAATGAAATATTTCGTAGAAACCAAAAGAAATGGCATCAAAATCAAACAACAGAACTAGCAAACAATGAGAATCCTCCAAAGATCCCAAGATCAGTGAAAAACTCTCAAAAATTCAAAAGAAATGAACCCAAAGATCAAAACCTAGAAAGAATCAACAAAAAGAAAAAAACAATACCAACCATTGTTTCCATGTTGAGGAACAATAGGTCTAGATGGCAAACTCCATATATGGTTCCCCTTCTTGTTCTACTGTCTGGCCTAAAACTCCACAAATACTGGCTAACAAAGATGAAAAGAACACAAACATCTGGCAAAAAAAAGCCAGATTGGCACCTCTTTCCCCCTTCCTACTCTCTACTCTTTCTTTTCTCCTTCCTTCCCTACCCCTCTCTTAGCTTATTTCCCTTCTTTCTTTTTTCTTTTTTTATAATTTTTAAAATTTTGAATAAAAAATTTTATATTTTATATTTTGATTTTTAAAATTTTTAGATTTTTTTAAATTTTACTAAGTTTTTAATAATGACATGGTAATGGACCCACTAATGATGTAGCATTTTGTTGTCACATGTCATGACTTTATTCTAGCAACGTTAGCAACTTGACTAACGGTATTAGTCAAAAGTAAGTGTACGATGAAAAGAAAATTCAAATACTTGAATGAAAATTTTATTTTTCTAACTACCAAACTAACAGAGTTTATATAATATAAGGACCAAATAAATATTTAACCCAAAAAAAAGAACATCAAGATTTGGGAGTTTTTTCCCAAACAATATTACTTTAAATCTATATTCTTGAATTAAAATACTTTTAATCTCCTTAAATAAGGTACTCTCTAACACGAGTGCCATGTCATGATTTATGTGACAAAAACTTGCCACGTTTTATTTTTTCTCTTTTTCTTTTCCTAATCTCATCATTGGTTCATCAAAGATGGCCGGCTATCAACCACCATTGAATTACAACTAATTAAAACAAAAATTAAAAATCAAAGCCATTATAAAAGCTTCCACCATATCACCTGCAGTTTTGCACACTCATTTTCCAATCCTATTATTTTCTAATTTTTGTACCTTGATTGAGTATTAGTTTTCCTGTTTATATTTTGCTAAAAAAACTGTTATTTTCGATTCTGCTGTTGAGCAAGTATGGAGGCCACCATCTACACCTTTAGTAAAAATTAATTTTGATGGTAAGTTGAACAAAAAGCATAAAGCTGGAAACGTGGTAGTTGTTATAAGAGACTCGGAGGACATTGTCCTGCGGGCAATAGCTGCTAAAATACAGGAAGTTTTAGATCCCTGGAGCGTGGAAAGCTGGGTAGCAGTCAAAGCTCTAGATTTTGCAAAAGACATGGGTTCACAAAAGTTATACTGGAAGGAGATGCGTTAGGAGTGATAAGTCGGTTGAGAAATGATGAAATTGATCTATCCCCAAATGGCATCATCATTGATGAGGCTTGTATGCACGTAAAAGAGTTTCAACAATGTAACTTATCTCATGTTAGACGAATAGAAGACAGAGCAGCGAATGAGTTAGCAAAGCGTGGAGTGAACTTAGAAGCAAATTGCTGTTGGGTAGAAAAATGTCTTAAATTTTTTACTGTTTATTTTTGCAGATTGTAGCCAAGTGGTTCGTCAATGAATTTAATCAGTCTTATTATTCTAAAAGAAAACGCTGCTATTTTTCCATGTATGTGGAACCAATTCGAAACTTCCAATTTGAATTAAACATATTTACATCAATTTTAGGGGTTGTTTAATGGTGAATACATTTGGGTTTTTTTAGAACAATCAAGAAATATATTAAAGACAAAAAACATTTAGAATAAAACAACATATTCAAAGAAAAAACACAAGATTTGGATTGTTGGTTAGATTCAAATAACAGATTCATGATGATTGATGAGGTTGTAAACATAAAATATTCAAAGCAACAGATTCATGATGAAATTGTAAACAAATAGAAGATTATTAGTTACATTTGGGAAGCAACTATCAAAACAAATCTCCATTGATCTCATCTAATTAAAGAAAAATCCGAGTCCCTCTCTTTTCAAGTATATAAATCTGCCTATAAAAGCAATCTAACATGGATTTTTATACATGGTTGGGCATGGCAGTCGATGACAAAAGAGAAAACAAATTGGAGGAAGATAACAAATGTTAAGGAAAAGGTCATGAGCTGATGTGGTCATTATGTGCTTACATGGCAAAAAAAAAAAAAAACTCTATTTTAACAAATACGATTAAAAATGCCTTATTTTGGAAAATAAAAAATTAATTACTTTATGATAGAAAAAAAAACTCCCAAATTTGAACGTCATACAATTTATTATTATACTAGAATAATATAATGGAAAACACTAGTGGTTTTGTGAAAACGCATCTTATGCTGTGGTATTTAAAGAAATAAAATTTTTATTTTGATACACAAATTTTTATTCCGTCAAGTACTTTAGTATTTTGATTAATATTGTTAGTCAAATTACTTATGAGGTATTAATATCCAATAAAATCATTATACATGACATAAATATTCAATCATTGTTATATTATTTATTTTCTATCTTAGCATTTAAATAAAAAATTCAAAAAATTTTAAAATATATTTTTTTTATTCAAAAGTTTTTAAGAATAAAAATAATAAAAAAAAAAAAAGAAAGGGAAAGAATTGGGGAAAAAGATAAATGGAGAAGCAAGAAAGACAAGAGGAAAGAGAGAGGGAAAGGAAAAAGCAAAGATAGTGCCATCAGCAAGCCCGAAATCGAATCGTGTTGGTCCACCCCAAACTTGTTGGAATGGCACCTTTAGTCGGCCCAAGATCGGATAGGGCCAGTTCACCCCAGACTCGCTGGATCGATGCTGACCTAACTTGTTTAAGTTAGATTAGCACTGAACCACCAGGTCTAGGGCGAACCGATCCCGATCTAGCCCTAGGTCGACCAGCATGCCACCCGTTCCGCCTCTCTCTCTCTCTCTCTCCCTCTCTCCCCGATCTTTTCCTTCTATTTTTTATTTTTTAAATCAGATTTTATTTTAAAAATTTTTTGTTAACTTGGTGGTAAAAGTTAAAATACTGAAGTGATAAAAATTATATAATATAAAAGCCATTTTACATAATAACCCAGATAAAAAGTCTATTGAGCATGGTCCTTGCCTTTGTGAAGGACTATATAATCGGCACTACAAATTAAATAAATAACCTATTAATTTTGCAAATCCAATATTTTGCTGCTTGTTTCCGGTCATGGAAAGCGAAAGAAGTTGGAGCATATGAATTATATTATTATATCTTGTTTCAAGAAGATCTTTCTTTTTCTCATATTAGTGTCCCCAAAGAGAAATTGAATTTCAGTCAAATTGCCAAACATGGATATTCCAGATTCCGGCTGCTTCGGCAGAAAAGCATCATAATGGAAGGACTTGGTGCCTTGCAGAATTTTCAATTTTGTAAAGCAGCAAGTGGCAACTGTATGTCTACCAACCCCAAACTCCATTTATACTCTGTGGTTGAGATTTCAGCTGCACCAGAATTTGGAATATATGCCACTACTTTTTAAATTTTTTTTTATCGTTTTCTCCAGGTTAATCCCCTCCAAAATTGAATCAATTCCATCCCCTCATAAATTCATTTTTCCTCCATTTTTCAATTGCAATATGGTATTTCATATTCATCTTTTTGAAAAAACAAAATTAAAAAAAAAATCCTTACAAAATCTTAGAGCTAACAATGTCATTAAATTTACACTCGGTTGGATAATTTCTTTTGAATGTCGATCCATCTTGGTATAACACTTTGATCCTCAAAATAGATATAAAGAATAATAAAAATCTCTTTAAAAAAAAATAATAATAATGTATCCTTGCTCGACGTATTGCTCAATGATCTTATTAGAGGCGCTTCAGAGGGTTATTCAAACTGGGTTTTTGCCACGCCACTACTTGGAAAGTTAAAAAATCTCTTCATCCGTCCATGTTCATCCTTCAAAAACTGCAATTGGAACATTAGAATTTATCTTGTTTTAAAATATTCAGGTCTATTTCTTTTAATCATTTTGATCCAATCAATATTGAGAAGATTAGTTGAAAACAATTAAAATTGTCAAACGAACATTGGGGTATTTTGATTATGGCGCTACAACAGAAAAGCACCATATGCAAAGCCTATTACTGTTGCTCTGAATAAATTTCAAATTTCTAGACTGGCAACGAAATTAGGACTATTAATCCAATTCCTATTCAAAACTCAAATCAATCCCATCAAAAAATCCAATTGGAATATCCGTTCTTGAATTGCAATATACTAGTTCGTATATATTCATTGTTCTTTGAAAAAATTTCTTCTATAAATCTTACGCATACAAGAATTTCCTATAATCTTATCAACTATTCACATGAAGGAAATTTAACAGTTGCCATTGGATCAACGAACCAATAAATGCTACACCCACGAAATACCCAATCTCTTTAGTCAAGCCACCCTGCTCTGCTCTAGCACTTTTTAGCCACCCACCCCATTGAATTTGACAAATTGTTTGTTTGCTTCCTAATCCTACGACTTAATATGTCACCTGCACGTTTGTTTAACATGTGCATGAATCCAATATTATATGACATAAATCTATTAAAATTGTTTCGGACCACTTTTTTTGGTTTGTGTTTATAATGTAATGATCAAAATGGCTTCTGTAGATACATGAACATGTCCTGCAATGGTGAAAGCTGCTCCATCTGGTACTGAGCTTGACTTGCAAATGGGTCATCTTGGAATCCATCATCCATGTAATTGAACTGAAAATCAAGTGCATTGCTTGGCTGAAGCTCATTCCACTTAGGTTCACTCTGGACCTCTTTCCCGCACGTGATTTCAGGTGACAGAACTTGCTCCGAGGAACTTGAGTCTGCATGCAACCTTGGGACAGAATCTGAAGCATCCGTTTGAAAGAGATCATTCATAATGGACACTGATGAAGGTTGTTTTTGTGGCAGTGCTGTCATATTTTGACCATTCATTAAAATGTTTGGTTTCTGATCTTCCATCTCTGGGTAACTTATCCTTTTCTGTTCACTTGGGAAATGTTTCTCAATGCTTCCTTTCTTGTTGTATATTCGACATAGTACCCAATCATCAAGCTGCAATAAAAACACGCAAAACACCATTTAGAAAAAGTGAAAAACAAAAAAAAAAACCAACCAATAGGCTAAGAATCTAAATGAAGAGCTAAAAATTGTACTTCGTTGGTAAAATCAAATGGTGTTAGGTGCAAACTGCAAAAGCAATACAGCCAATGTTAAATTGGCTTTAGCAAATTGTCATCAATTGATAAAATCCATTGAGGCCACTTGCCATTTTGGACTTCCAATTCCAAATATTGAAAACTCCAAAACCTAGAAAGTTGAAAACTTTTATATTTGCTTTCAAAGGTGGCAACTTTAATCTAAAAAGTATTCAATGTCCATTTTCCCCCTTAAAACAAAAGCAAAGCTTTTGGAAATAACAAAATTTGCTAAAAAGATAAAGAAAGATTGAAGTTACCCTCAAGTTTCTGTTCTTCTTGTCAGCGGACCTATCAACATTGGCAAGGCGGTATTCATGCATGATCCAATTGGTTTTGACACCGCGTGGGGCTTTGCCAGCGTAGAAAACGAGTGCCTTTTTTATGCCCAGTGTCTTGGGCTTCCCAATTGGCTTGTCCGCCCCGGTTGCCTTCCAATACCCGCTTCCAGCCGCCCGGTTCGGCCGACATCCGTTCGGATATTTTCGATCCCTTGGAGAAAAAAAATACCACTCTTTTTCACCGCATAACGCCATGCCTACACCAAATATAAATCAAATTAATAAATCACTCTCCCAAATTAACCCAGAAAAAAAAAAAAAACCCAATTTCGATTTGCAAAACTAATTGAAAATTTTTTGTTTGCTCAAATTTCACAACTAGGGAACGGACTTGAAGGGATGAATAGCACGAAAGTGGCTGCATTTTTCCTAAATTGCGAAAAAAATCCTTCTTTTTCTTTTGTTGAATAATGAAATACCCAGTAGTCTTAATGATGAAAACAACGAAGGCCCGAGAAAATTAGAATCGAATCGCAGATACCCATTTACCAAAATCGAATTATGTAAAATCAGGAAAAGAAAAAAATGAAAAAGAAAAAGTACCTGGAAGCTGCCATGGGTCAAACTTGTAGAGATCGATCTCAGCAATAATGGGCGCAGCAATAGGCTGAGATGCACATTTCCTACACAAATAATGATTCACCAACTCATCATCTGTGGGATGGAATCTGAAACCCGGTGGCAACTCTAATTCTCCTTTCATTCTCTAGAAAAAAAAATTGTTTTCTCTTTTTTTTCTTGACTAACTTCCTCGAGCTTCTCTGTTTTTTTTTTTTCCTTTTCTGTTTTAAATGTTTCTTTGGTTGCTTTGCTTTCCTCTGCTTTGCTGCTTTGGTGGAGGATGGAGCTTGAACCGAAGAGAGAAGTGACGGGAGAGATTTTATAGGGAAAAAAGGCACGTGCAGCTGTCTTAACTCTTAAGAACCAAAACGTGGGTTAAGCAGCGGTTCGACCGTTTTCTTTTCGTAGCAGAACCGGCCGCAGCCCTCGGTGAAAAAGGGGAGAGAAAACGGGTGACGTGGATGCGTCTCTATGGATGAAGATTTATTTTGTCATCGCTTCCGTCACGGACTTTGGACTTTTCCTCAAGTCCGCTCAACGCCTCTTCAGCTTCGTTGACTGTCGTTGGGTTGTTACTCTAAATTTTTTTTTTTAAATATGAAGCAGATAAATTATTTAATTTTTTAAATTAAAATAAAATATATTATATTTGATAATTTAAGATAAATAATTATAAGTTATGTAATTAAAATAATTTTAATAAATGATCACAAATAAAATTTGAATTTAAAATTTATTCTACAAAAATAATAATCTTAATTAATTAAATTGATTACCCTAAACTTGTATCTTCTACTCCGTTTCCTTTCTTTATTATATACTAATTCCTTGCTGCCACGTCAATACTGCATCCAAATAAATCTAACTTCATTTTCAAAAAGAATAATTATCGATTGAATTCGTGTTTTTTTACCTAAAAATATATTTTAGTACATTTTATATTAAAATTTTTAATTTTGAAAAATTAAAAAAATCATAAAAACAAATTAAAAATATAAAAAAGAAAGAGCATTAGATGTTTAGAAAGTTAAAAAGAAAACATCTAAAGAAAAAATGGATAAAAAAATAAAATGAAAGGAGTTTGTTAGTGCTGATTAAAGAGTAAAATAAATGAACGGAGGGGATGAGTTACGTGGAGGCGAAGCATGGGGAAACGAGTGAGGAGAGCAGATGGATAACGGTGAGGTGATTGGCCGCAGATTTAGAAAAGTAATTGAACAGAACTGGAAAAGACGTCATTGGTCAAACAGGCTCTCACGTAAAAAAAAAAACGTCATCCCTCTGCTGGGTATTACTGACAAATCCCATACCTGGTCGACTAATGCCCACCAATCACAAACACCCAAACTTTATATGCGGTGACATGTGGCCCTTGTTTGTCGCCTACTCGATTGCTACAACAATTTGTTTGCTTAGTTTATATTTTTTAATCCATTTATAGTATATTTTTATTCTAAAAAAAAAGAATTTGAAAGGATTTCATTTTTAAGGTTTGTTTAAAAGTGGCTTCTCTTTTTCTCTTATTATTTTCATAAAATTACACATGCATTATAAGTGAACTTAGTGTGTGTTACATAAGTTTAACATATAATACAGTAGGAGAATTGGAACAAAGTTTAAACTATTACAGCATTAGATTGAACTTTTAGTTAAAAACAAAGTATTAAGCACATGCGAATTAATTATATCACTCAAATTAATTAAATTATAACATTTATTATTATTATTATTATTATTATTATTTTATCAATGTAGCCACGCCCCTAATGGACTGGAAAAGTGGATATATATATATATATATTAAAAAAAGGGAAAATTTATGACTGAATCTCATTCAAAATGTATATTCAAACCCCGAACAGCAATAACAGCAAAGGTATGAACGTTGGGTATAAAGATAAGGATTGACTTTCATGGCCTACAATTATTTTCTTTCATTAGATTAAAAAACGTGATATATATAATTTTTATTAACTTTTCATTTGACTTGAATTTTGAAATGACTAAAGGCATCAGTGTTTGAACATGCATATCCATTGACCATTAGCATGGAAGTTAGAATATTCTTTCTTATGCCATAATTTACAACTCCTTTTTTTTTCTTTTTTCTAATTTCCTTTTATATACCATTTGATCTCAGATTTGAATATTCAAGAAACCTTTGATGATAAATAATCCAACTACATTTTCCATCAGTTTTTAGATAATTAATACTTAACTTCTCCATTGGAATGTCACTTTTTCCATCTAGTAATCTTTAGCCTCCTACTTATGCAAATTTTAAGGAAATAAATTAATGTATCTTTTGGAATTCTAAAAGAATAAAATGTACTCTATATTAATTTTCCAAAGATTAGTAAGCTAAAGTGTATTTTTAAAAAAATTGTCTCACCCACCCAAAATTCAACTTGATCAAACTTTCTAATTAACATGGCAAAGGAATTGAAGTCAAATGCTTTAACTCAAAAAGAGCCAAACTCCCACCAAGTATAAACGCAAATTGATTGATACTTGAATACAAAAGAACTATATATTTAACTTAAAATGAGCTTTTTTTTTCCTTATTTCCAATTTTAATTTAATTAAAGTGATAGTAACAAATAAAATGTTAGAAAATTTTAAATAAAAGGATATAAACAATAAAAATGAATTTTGGTTTTGAGGTAAGACGAACACTTTCTTAAAGGTAGTTATGCCTCCAAAATATAATAAAACTTCAAACTCTCTAATTAAAAATAGTAAAATGATTATACTGAAAATTTTATTTATAATAAATAAACAAACATAAATTTCTATTTAAATGGTTATGAACATTTGTACAATCATCTATTTATATTCAAAAAAATTATGACCATTTATTATATAATAATATTTTTGCTCGAACATAATTTTTTAGAATATGAATAAAATTAATACAAAAATTAAGTCTATTCATCAATAATTAATTTTTTTTTATTAAATGTGGTATACACCACATTCTGAACTATCAATAATTCCCTACTAGTTTGAAATCTTGGTACTTAATCTTTAACCTTTCACACAAATAAATATTATAAAACAAAAAGATATATTTCGATTTAAACATTCAATTAATGTGTATACCTTAAAATTCTAATGAAGTTGATGGTATCTACAAACTAAACCTCAACTCCTAGTGTTAAAATTAAAAATATAACATACATAATACATACGTAATCTTCTATCAAAGGTTTATAACCACTTTAGTATTATTATGGGTATGTACTTATCTTATTCATAAACATTTACAAGAGATACATCGATTTTTCTTGTTAAAGTGACACTACTTCTATATTTATCTAGGTAGAGTTTCTTTTATGTTTTCATTACTTTAAACATTTAAATAATAAATTCCATTAAGAATATAAGAACCCATCCTCCCTATGTAATGGATCACATTAGTTTCTAAAATTTGAATCACTACCATAATTCTATTTACTATTGATGAATTTTATCAATGAAAAATTTTCATTGGTAATTATCGATGGATTTTTTACAGTTTACAGACAAAAATTTTAGATTTTTTTTACCATCAGATTTTATCGATAGAAAATAATCTGTTGGTATTTTGTAGGTGAAGTTGCAACAAGAAAATAAGGATTTGACATACAATTTATCGACAAAAAAAATCCATCAATAAATACTGACAGATTACTGATGAATTTTTTTCGTTGGTAAAAAAATTTCAATTTGGAAAAAATAAAAATACGTTTTGGAATTAAATTGGGAGGAAAAATTTTTAATTAGCGACGGATTTCTTTGGTAATTCTATTGGTAACCCATTGCTAAAAGTCAAAATTATCGACGAAATCTGTCGATAATCCATCGTTAAAAGTTAAAAAAATTTTGAATTATTGACGAAAAATTCATCACTAAAAGTCAATTAAATATAAAAATTTCATTCCCCATTTCCTTTTCTTTCTCTACTGAAATCTTTAATTCAGTTTCTTTCTCCTCCATTCTCTCCTTTCCTCTCTCATCTCCTCTCTTCTTTCTGCTTAGTCTACCTCTTTTCACTGTCGGTCCATGCCTTATTCTTCTCATTGCCTCCCTATGAAGAGCCTTTAAAGCCCTTAAATCCTTATCTTGACCCCTTGCGTGTGAAGAGCCCTTAGCTTTTGGTAGGTTGGAGATGAAATTTTGAGAGACTTGTGTTTGTTATCAATGTTTCTTTTCGAGTTTCAATTTCTTTACATGATGCTTGGTCTAGCTTTCTTATAATTGCTTATAATACTACCTGCCTATAAATTTAATATTTACAAGAATGAATTTATAAATATTCTTTAAATTCAAATGAAAATTCAACATAACTCCCAAAAAGTTTTAGAAATTTCACTTTACAAAAACATGTTGAAATGATAAAAAAACTGAAAGATTGATCTTGACATTGATCTTGACTTGTACTTTGTACCCATTGAAAGATTGGATAAATTAAATCTTTTAAATTAATTTCAATAATCAATATTCAAATTAAATTTGAGTATTTATATTGAAATTGTGTTGAAATATTGTTGTTTTGTTAAAAATGGGTATTTTTATTTTTTATTTAATTGAACTAGAAATAGGCATTTATGTGACTGTGTTGAACTAGAAATAAGAATTTTAATATTTGTGTTGTAAAATAAAATCTCAATATTGTATATTAAATTGTACTTGTGTTGAAAAATTTGTGTTGAATTTTGCTGTTGTTGGACTAGTCATGTGTTGAAATTTTGTAATATGTTTTGAAATCAATATTTTTTTTTATTTATTTGAAGTGGAAATAAGCATTTTTATGCTTGTGTTGAAGAATTTGTGTACTCTTGTTGAAAAGTAAAATGTCAATCTCTAACTGTAAACAGTATATTATTGTATAAGTACTTATGTTGTAGAATTTATGTCGAAATAATTTTTTTTTACATATAAAAAAAATTGTTAATACAAACAATGTGACTTTTGAGCCTTTGTTCGTGTACACACCTCCAAAACATACGTGCGTGCGTGTGTTAAAATACAATAATTGCTTTTTAAGACTTTAATTGCTTATTTTTCAGTTTAATATACTAAGAGTAATAATTTTTGAATCTTTATGATGATGCAATTAGGGTTGAGAAAGTGGACAAAGATGCTTTTGGATTTTTTTTTATGCTTTTTAAATGCTTGTGAAATGTTTATGTTCTATATGACAAATATGATGGGATGCAAAGAGTTATGTTCATCGAAGAGGTTTTACAGTAAGATCAATGAAAGATGATTCATCTATCGAGTCATCAGCAACACCTAT